CTGCTTCGTAGCCGAGCGTTTCGTCGGGCGCGAGTCTTTCCGTGTAATGCTAAGACTCCATACATGCGGTGAGCTCCGGCAAACGCATGCGGAAGGCGACTCCATGTACGCGGCAGAGCCTAGCGCCATGCCACGTACGGAAATCGAAGATGCGGATGTTTTCAGATAAAATAACCATACTGCGTGTATACATCTATAAAAACGACAGTTGTATAACCTAAAATAAACGGATACACAATATTTTTCCTTTTTGAAATAAACGATTGATCTTATTTATAAACATTTACTTTGAGTGACAATAGTTGAAATAAAATAATAAAGTTGGAATAAGTAATAAAAAAATATAATCAAAATAAATAATAAAATCAAAATGAATTGCAATGACAAACTTGTCTTGCTATTGTTGCTACGAAGAAGGCGAAGACGACAAGAAAGGCAACAAATTAATCGGAGAACACCTCGATGGTGGGTTCATCCTATAATAGAGGAACGATATTTTCAAGGTGCTTACAATAACCTTGTGCTTGAACTTCGACTTGACACAGAGCGTTTTTTCAATTTTCATCGCATGTCACCTCTTCAATTTGATCAATTATTAGCAATGGTAGAACCTATTATTACAAAAGTACACTGCACAAGAGAACCGTTGCATCCAGGACTGCGATTATCATTAACGTTGCGATACCTTGCATCTGGAGATAGTATGGCGAGTCTACATTATCTGTACCGCATAGGTAAATCTACTGTGCCAAAAATAATTGTCGAAACAACGGAAGCGCTTTGGCTGACACTACAGCCTCAAGTACTTCCTCCACCAACTGTACAAACATGGGCTAAAATTGCAGAAGATTTTGAAAATAAATGGAATTTTCCAAATTGTATCGGAGCAATTGATGGAAAACATGTTACTGCACAATGTTTCAAAAATACGGGATCAGCTTTTTACAATTACAAAGGCACATACAGTACTGTTTTAATGGGAGTTTGTGATGCTGATCTTCGCTTTACATATGTTAGCATCGGTTCTGCTGGTAGAGAAAGCGACGGAGGTATTTTTCAAAGTCTAGATTTTGGAAGATGCATCGAAACAGAAACACTGCCATTACCTCCACCTAAAGTCTTACCGGGTACAAATACTTGCCTTCCCGCAGTATTTGTTGGTGATGCAGCGTTCCCGTTATTGAAGAATTTGATGCGACCATACCCTGGTGCTAACTTGAGTCCAGAAAAAATTATTTTTAATTATCGCTTGAGCAGAGCAAGACGTGTAATCGAAAATACATTTGGGGTAATGTCAGCCAGGTGGAGAATATTTCGACGACCAATTGTTGCGTCACTTTCAACTGTAGATAGCATAGTTAAAAGTTGTGTGGTGCTGCACAATTGGCTTCGAGATGCGGAGCTGAAAGTTTTGCCTGGTCAGAGAAGATATGTTCCAGTAGGATTTATAGATGTAGAAGATCACTATGGAAATGTACAAGCTGGTCAATGGCGAAACGGAGAACCACTTGGTGCACTTCAAGGTTTTGCACCAAATGTATCAAGAAACTCTGCAAATGACGCCAAAATAATTCGAAATATCTACACAGACTATTTTATGAAGGAAGGTCACGTACTTTGGCAGTGGAATAAGCTACCTGACTTTCAACGGGAAGCGTATATGCAACAGGCAGAAGGTAAATTGATTAAAACACATAATTTTTAAAAAATGCAATCGATCAAGTTATATTTTGTTCCTCTGCCACAACTTGAGAAAGCGCTTGTAATACAAGTGTCTTTAAACGTAATTTCGCATTTACGTTTAGATGCTGTGAATCCCGCGATATAGACAAATAGAAAAGATCGTCTGAATTCATGGTGTCGGTTGAAGTTCGTTTTTCCACAAAGTTTAAAATTGCCTGATCGACCGCATCTGTACGCGTTTCAGTCAATTGCCTTTTTCCTAAAAAAAAAAAAAGTTAAATATTAATATCATATCTATTATTTATATCAAATTTTCGCAATTATGTGATACATAATCTTTATTATTTCATAGTGAAGTAAAATTTGGCACATTAATCAACTATTCTCTTTTTACTAATGCATTGTATAAATAAGATATTCAAGTAAATCAGTTGTAAGATAGAAGCACTGCACAAACTGTTTTTTAAAATACTTAATTAAATAATTTAAATGTGATTTATTTTCAAATAAAGAGATACAATAAATTTACCTCGTTTTGCAGGTTGGGTCTGATTTTGTTGAGAATGGCTATCAGAATAGCTCTCAGAATGAGGCGACATGCTCGGAGGTCGAGATTGAGCTCTTGGAGGACGAGTCAAAGCACTATTAAGCGAGACACTATACGGACAAGGCGAGGCACTATTAGGACGAGGCGAGGCACTATTAGGACGAGGCGAGGCACTATTAGAACGAGGCGAGGCACTATTAGGACTAGGCGAGACACTATTAGGACGAGACAAGGCACTATTAGGACGAGGCGAGGCACTATTACGACAAGACAGTATACTTAACGGACGCGGTGGACAGAATTGTGTTTGTCCTGCCTGCCTCGTATTAGTATCCTGCATATAGTCCACTGTAAAATAATGTTTAAAATGTTGTATAAAAGTCTTGTTTAAAACTATAATACGCATAAAATACTTTCTACAAAAAATTTTTTTTCATGTAGTACATACTTTAGTTAACATTTTATTGTGTATATATACACAATTACTTTATAATTATATATATATATATATATATATTTACACAAATATGTTTTGTTCAATTTACCTTGAAACTCTTCTGTGTCATTTTGCATATATCCTTCTGTTTCAAATGTCTCCAATGGTGCTGACGATGACGTATCAATGGATGATGGACGTTCAATGACAAAACTTTGGCAGTTTGTTACAGTTCTAATTAAGAAATTATAAAACAAAAATTATATTAGTTTATGTAAAAGCATACTATTTATGAAAATGAGGAATTGACAATTACAATCGTCATTCAAATAATAATTCCAGTAAGCAAGAAATATCAAGAAACATTTCAACTACATTGCAGTAACGTTGTAAGTTGCTGCAATATAGTTGAAATGTTTCTTGCTCACTGGGATGACACTAACGTCATGAATTTTGTTATGCTATCAACCACATCAAAATCATTATAACTTTACCCTGGTAACACAATCTGATAGCTCAGATACGTCCCGAAGAAGTGCGCAAGAAAACAGTCCAAAATTGTGACAGAAGTGCATAATATCTGTGATTGAACGAGTACTTACTGTACTATTGCACCAGTCTGCTGTAATAGTACAGTAAGTACTCCTTCAATCACAGATATCATCAGATTCTGTCGCAATTTTGGACTGTTTTCTTGCGCACTTCTTCGGGACGTATTTGAGCTATCAGATTGTGTTACCAGGGTACATTTAAAAAAAGTAAAACTTACTTGCGAGGTTCCACTACATCCGACAAAAAACTTAAGCTTGCCATAAGTGGCCATGGAAAAAAATGATGAGCTGCTTGCCCACTTTTTGTTACGGACTTCTTTTTCTCTTTTAGGTACCTATCTCGAAGCTGTCTCCATCGGTTCTTCACAAACTCATCTATTTAAATTTATCATAATTTTATTATTGTTAACATTATAAATTTTTTTATACCTAAAAACATATTTATAAATTATTTCAATTCTAGAAGTAATTTTATTTTATTTTGATAAATACTGGCATTGGGTCATAAGAATATGACTTAACTTATAATAAAAACTCAAGAAAACTTTATTCTATTTGTATTTTTAAAATGAGTGTTCTTCGATAAGGATCAGGAAGTTTATAATACATTTTTTAAGGGACGCTAGAAATGTTTTCAAACAATACATACCAGTCACATTAAGTTCCTGAGCTACCTGACACCACAATTTTTTTTTTAAAACGTTGTCTCTATACTCTTTGTTTTTTAAATCCCATAACTGCGGGAGGCTTCTGACGTAATGAATAATAAGTTCATTGACGTTCTCAGAATTATATTCCACATTTGGCGAATTTTCATCGTTGATCGATTCCATGGTTGATAGCTGGTTTCATACGACATAACCTGCAACGTCAGCTATAAACATTCAGTGGTTTTCACCAAATTCCGAAAATCTCCGACGGTTCTCGACTCTAGCCGAATGACGTGCGGTAGTGCGGAAAAATTAAAATATTTTGATCTCAACGCAGTACGGTGCGGCATGCCGGAACTTGACCTGCGCCTGGCTCCTGATTGGTCACCGCAGCATTTTCCGGAGCTCACCGCATGTATGGAGTCTTAGCATCAGTAAGGTAAGGTTTCGACCAATCGCGTTGCTCGATCCGGCCGTCCGTAAAAATTTCTAATTAGCTGATCCAGTGGAAAAACTCCAGGCACCAGGGGCTGTGAGTGGCTGTGATTAATCGCAACCTGGTCAAACGGGACGCTCTCCCATGTATGCAATACGGCCGTGTGTGCAATACGGCCATGTGTGCAATACAATCGTGTGTGCAATACGGCCGTGTGTGCAATACGGCCGTGTGTGCAACACAGCCGTGTGTGCAATACGGCTGAGTGTGCAATACGGCCATGTGTGTAATACGGTCGTGTGTACAACACGGTCGTGTGTGCAATACGGCCGTGTGTGCAATACGACCATGTGTGTCATACGGTCGTGTGTGAAACACGGTCGTGTGTGCAATACGGCCGTGTGTGCAATACGGCCATGTGTGCAATACAACCGGGCTGTGTGTGCATTACGGCCGTGTGTGCAATACGGTCGTGTGTGCAATGCGCTGTGTGCAATTACCACTTGGGTTGATAGAAAGACCCTCAGGAATACAAAGATACATACCACTTGGGTTAAGTTAGGTAACACAATTTTATTTTATTTTTTAAGAGTAGTTGCACCACAATTATTTTTCAAAGCAATATATATATTTTCTTTGTAGTTGGCGTAAGGGTGCCTCCCCATGCACGACGGAATCTCGGAAAACGGAATCTCGGAATCATTCTGATTGGTTAGTCCCAATCAGAATGATTCCGAGATTCCGTTTTCCGAGATTCCGATGGGGAGGCACCCTAAGGAGAAATAAGGCTACTACCACTTAGGTTGGTACGTATCACTTGGATTGAGTTTGGTAACACAATTTTGTGATATAATAATCTCTTTGCATAAACTATCTTTATTGCTTATCTCCGCAGGGTTTGCAAGGCGTTTTTATAAGGAACGTTACCCAAACCTTTACACTACTACCCTTCTCCTCTCACTTTAACCCTTTGGACTAACAGCTTAACGTCTCTTCCGAAAGACGGAGCCCAGTTTGCTCCGCACAGGTGGGCGGCGCAGACCGACTTGCGCCTGGCTAACGTCGGAAATAAATTTACGTTTATCGGGGATCGTCCATTATCGACCTTACGTGGTCATCACCTGACATCCTCCGTAAAATCACCGACTGGTCGGTTAGGGAGGACCTGGAAACTCTCTCCGACCACCTCTGTATCTCCTTTAAGATATCCGGCCCTGGTCGGTCTGTCTGCGCTCCTGCACTTTGGCTGCCGAAGCCTGCACCGCGCTGGAATTTTCGTGAGGTGGACAAGACCCTCTTTCAAGAATCTATGGAGTGGTCATGTGCGGTCACTCCTGCGGATGACCCGCACATGATTATACTGAAACCGGACAAATGGCTTCACCAATGTTGTCGTGCTGCGGTTCCTCTTGCCCGACCATCCGGAAAGGGCCGTGGGATGTATTGGTGGAGCCCGGAGATAGCCCGTCTACGTGCCGAGTCTGTGAGGACTAGACGAGTGTGGACTCGTGGACGACGGAGGGATGCTCGTAAAGTTTCGGAGCGGAAAAGAGCCGACTATATAAGCGCTAACCTCGCTCTTAAATACGCCATTAAGAGGGCAAAATCCAGCTCCTGGCAGGAGCTGATCGACACCCTGAATGACGATCCTTGGGGTCTTCCCTACAAGATCGTTCTAAGTAAATTACGCAAACCTACACCTAGTTTGTCCTTTACCTTGGAACCAGAACAACTTCGTGATCTCCTGCATAAGTTGTTCCCTCCGGGTAACCGATTAGCCTTTGTTGATTTTGGACTCTTTATTTTCGCGCCTGGGGATTTTTCTTTCCTCTTGGGACTTCTGGGGGCGTCGGGCGCCGCCTGGCGGCGCTCCTATCTTCCCTCCCTCCGCGGTCCGGTGCGTCGACTGGTGCGACGTTCCCGGATCGTCTTGGGGGGGCTGCTGGGTCGCGGTCGGCCGGCGCCCGGCGTCCCTGGGCGTCCCTGGGCGTCCCTGGGGCTTCTTGTCTTTTTCCGCTTCTCTTGGGCGTTGCCTGGGGTGCCTTCTTTTGGGTGGGGGTACCTTTCGTTTCGCTCTTTGAGGGACTTGCGTTAATCCTTCTTATTATGTACTCGAGATCTGTAGGAGTTTCTCTGGGGCTCGGCCTGCCGGAACTGGCTGGTCGTTGCTTTTTGGGCTCGGGTGTCACTGCTCACGCAGTGACTCCCCTGAGCTCTTTGCGGTCGCCGGTTGCGGTGGGTCGCTCCCTTGGGGGACTCTGAGTATATGACCTCTCTTCCTAGAGGATTGGGGGATGTCAATCCTCCCCTTTCTCCTTTCCTTTACTGATTGGTGATGGGTCGTCTTCTCATCCCTCTTGTGTCGAGAAACGTGTGGACTCATGTCCCTGTTTGCTACTCGTGGAACCCCTCTCCGGATAGAGGGATCTCCTGTTCGTCTGGTCATGTCGTGTGCATGTGGTCTGGGATGCGGAATCTGTGGTCGAACTATCCGCAGCCGATGAAAAGTCCCCTCGATGGCATGGCTACCCGCGGTCATGGCACGAAGGCTCTCCGAGGTGGTGGAACCACGGTTTTCTGACCGTGGTTCGTACTAGGAATGGGTTCTTCCGCGGACGAAACATCCCAGGTTTTGATCCTTCCGCTTGTGATCTTGTGTTATCATTTAGCTGTCTTCTGGCGCTCTGCGCCCGGATTTTGTCTCGTCATGTGATGTAATACCTCTGGTCTCCCGCGTGGCTGTAGTGAGAGTGACTGTAGTCCTTTGTGCTGTTTGTTTAATTTTAAATCTTTATATTATATTTATGTAAAATTTAAAAAAATAATTTAATAAATCTGTTCATTATATTTTGTATATTATATATCTACACAAGTATCTGCTGTTTAAATGTTCTGTGTATTTATGTTTTTATATTAAATTGTTTATAAAAAATAATAAAATGTAAGAAAAGGTAGAATAAACGAAAATTTTAAAAGTATTATAAAATTATTTATTTAACATGCATTGCCATACTTTTGCTATCGTATCTCTTGCTTAATGTGGTACACTTTTTCTTATTAAAAACTCTTAATCTAAATACGACAAATCGACTTATTATTTTTTTATGTAACTGGTAACAATTCAAAATATGATCGGTCTTAACCTTATTCAATTTATCTATTAAAAAAGATTTCAAATCTTTTATATTATCAAAATATTTCGAATAATGACGGAACATTTGTTCTAATTTCCAAAATAATATAAATGTTTTTATATTAGGAAAATATAATGAATTTGTTGTGTAACTTTTTAGTTTCACTAATTTTGCAAATGAATAGCGCAATGGTGTTTTTAATAAAACTGATTTTAAACAATTTGTACATGTTACACATATTTTATGAATTGATTGCAAAATATATCCAGCAATATTATATAAATAATTCATTTCAAAAGATGACATGTTCAATACATTTGCATTTTCATTAAACAGTGGAATATTATTATTGTTATCTTCTATAATATTACTAGATTGAATCTTCTTTTTTTTTTTCATCTGATATGTATTCAAGAAATCCTGACAAATATTCCTTATCATCGTCATCATAATTACTACTACTTATACACTTCATATACATTGCAACGGAAATTAATTTTAAATCATTTTTAAACTGTAGCGGATGAGGTATGACATTTTTAGCTCTTAGTTGGGAAAAAAGATTTTCAATACAATCCTGTGTAAACCGAGAAGTAAAAATAAATTTAAATTTTTTATTTGTGATAAGATATTTAGTTAAATCAATTATTGATTTAGTGGTAATTATTATGCCTCTTTGCACCGGTTTAAAATCACCTTTACCTATTTTTAATTGCTTAAAGATATTAATAACTTTACGTATTTATGTAATACGTATTTATACTTCATTAATAACTTCATTACGTTTACATCAAAAATATGTGTGTGAAATATTCAGTTACCTGTTAAAAACTTGTAAAACTCGCAATATCTTCTATTGCGTGCAATGGTATAGCACCTATATAATTCGATAGGACTGTCTAATTGCGTGCTGGTGGACACAATCGCAGAAATCCCTTTAGAGTTCCGTTCATTTTACTGATAACGAAAGCTCTGTTATTGCGTCGCAATAGTAATTTTACAGTGCACGTGCCGGCACGCGGTAGTTTCAGGTAGAGACCGTTTCAGGTTATGTGAGTTACGCCACCACACACGCCTGACACGCCACGACAGAGTGAGATAGTATATATATCGTTTTCTCTCTCGTAGGTTTTTGAGGAAAAATGTCGGACGTTGGCCAGACTCTTATTATAGGGTCTCTAGACCACACTGCCGCCCTATAATAATCTCTTTGCAATTGGCGCAATTTAATTTAAAGATTTCATATCTTTTTTTGAAATACATGTTACTTGAGTTAAGTTAGGTAATATAATTTTGTGAAGGAAAAATTAAAGATTTCACATCTTTTTTTTAAATACATGTCGCTTGAGTTAAGTTAGGTAATATAATTTTGTGAAGTTAAAAATGACGTCAATCCGCAAAACTAATATTAATCGAGAAAACTATTAAAAAATGACTAAACTTGTGATGAGAGATGATAGAATAAGATGATAGGAATTTCAGGACTTTTATAAGTTTGGAAAGGATATCTATATATAGCATTATGCGCAGAGACACATTTAGACACATTGCGTAGTTTACGATCAATATTTTAGCGGAAGGGAAAGCAGAAATGTTAATTGTTTGTAGACGAGCGCTATTACGGTTGTTACCGTCTGTCAATAGCAATTTTCGGCCGTTATGCTGCGATTTTGCGGAAGATTTTTTGCCGAATAAATTGCAACTTTTATCGGAATTATATGGCAACCCTGCACGCGAGTGAGCCACGGACGCAACGGTTTTGGGGGCTTGTCTGGAATCTGGGATAGCTTAAGTCATCGACACCGGAGTCCTTAGCGAGGAGTCCCCGTCAGGAACGCTGGTCCTACAAGCCGTAT